GCTGTCCAGATGCTAAGCAAGGATATTATGTTCCCCCTTTTTTGTTATTGAGCGCCTTAAGGGACAGGGGTGTAGATCAACCTTCTGTAGCTTCTTCCTGCTGGGAAGGAGTGGCATCTGGTCCCGAATTCAAGCATAACAGAGAAGCTATCTGTGAACCTGAGAAACTGATGTGACAGCATTTTAGAAAACAGCAGCTTCTACCTCAAGGCCTGTCCAAGGAGGGGGCGTGGCCCTTGTCCTTGGAAAACCCCACAGAGCACTCCTAGGCACATACCCACCCTGCTGAGTTGTTTGTCTGTAAATAACCAGAGAGGTCTGCAGCGCCAGGTGTCCCTGACTCAGTTAGGCTAGGTAAGGACCCATAGCAACCCCCTAGCATCCACCAATCAACATGAGACAGGGAAAATACTTGGGATGCCAGATGACCCCCCAGTAGTTTATGGTGGTTGATAACATGTTGGAAAACCATGTAGTTCAGCACATACTCCCCTCATGGCCTAAACCAATCAGTTCAAACGAATCCCCCTCTTGTACTAGCCAATCACCCCTACCCAACTTGTTCCCGCCAGTGAATGTGCTGATCAATGTTAAGAGTTGTAGTTTGACTTTCCCGCGGTATGAAATGATTTGCTGTGTGATGTTGTGACGCATAGAGTATCCCCCCAAAACCTATAAAATCTCACTGAACAAAGGGCTGGGACTCACTTCCTGGGACCACTGCATCAGAAATGGTCGGTCGTGAGTCCAGGCTCCAGCTTGCAATAAAGACTCTTGTGTGATTGCATCAGATTCGGCTCCTGGAGGTCTATTGGGGTCCCACGAATCTGGCATTACAGTGCACACCTATAATCCCAGCAACTGGGGAGGCTGAGGCAGGAGGATCGCAAGTTCTAGGCCAGTTTCAGTAATTTTAGCAGGACCTTGTCTCAAAAAATAAGTGCCTGTGGGGTGGGGGATGAGCTGGTGATGTAGCTTGGGAGTAAAAGAGCCCCTGAGTTCTAGCCTCAATACCAAAAAGAATAAAAGTAAAATAAATTTAAAAACCCAAATTATTATTATTATTATTTTTAGAGAGAGAGAGAGAATTTTTAATGTTTATTTTTTAGTTTTCGGCAGACACAACATCTTTGTATGTGGTGCTGAGGATCGAACCCGGGCCACACGCATGCCAGGCGAGCGCGCTACCGCTTGAGCCACATCCCCAGCCCCCAAATTATTTTTTTAATATTTATTTTTTAGTTGTGATTGAACACAATACCTTTATTTTATTTATTTTTATGTGGCTGAGGATTGAACCCAGGGCCTCACATGTGCTAAGCGAGCACTCTTCTGCTGAGCCACAACCCCAGCCCCCAAATTATTCTTTCATAATTCTGGAGGCTAGGAATACAAATTATGATTGTGGTTTGACCTGATGGGGTAATCAGGTTATGAAGTCAACCTATTGGATTATGGTCAGTCTATTTACAGGAAAGGTGGACACATAGGGCTGGGGGTGGAGAGCACTTGCCTAGCATGGGTGAGGCACTGGTTTGATTCTCAGCACTGCATGTAAATAGATAAAATAAAGGTCCATTGACAACTAAAAAATATTTTTTTTTTTWAAAAAAAAGGACACATAGTGTCAGAGGTGAGGATAGTTTAGAAAAGCCACCAAAGGAAAGGCCTTTTCATTCTGAAAGGGATAACAAGAGGCTCTTGTTTTTGTACTCTCAGTCCCCCACAATCGTTAATGTCTTCATGCTTGATTATCTGTCTCTTTGTGCTGTGGGAATCGTTTTAGGGTGTCAGGAAGAAGCTGTTTATTGTGTAATTTAGACAATTTATTCTGCCAGAACATCGTTTCATTTACCGGGTATTTCACCTGAATCTGGCCCATTGTATCTTTTTGTCATTCCTGCTCCTGGAGGATTATGACGCATGGAAAAATTCTGTGTGGTGTCTCTATTGGCCCAGGCCCCTTTCCCTCCTGTGTGTTCTTGGTTGGCGTCTGTGGTGGGGGCAGGTCTCACAGCACGGCTAAGCGTCTGTCTGTCTGTCAAGTATTCTCTGTGTAGTCCGTACCCTAAGAAGGCCCCACCAAGGGCACGTCTGCTGCCTCATGATCCTGTCAGTGTCCTCGGTCTATCCACCAGATTGATCGACCCTAGGTTAGCTTTTTATGTTGTGTGCCAACTTTCAACAACAGCAAAGCTTAGCAGATTTGAAAGATTTTTTTTTTTGACAACTTTTGGGAGTGTGTGGGGTATTTTCTATTCTGAGGATTTAACCCAGGGGTGCTCTACCCCAGACCTCCCCCMCTTTTTTTTTTGAGACAAGATCTCACTAACTTGCTGTGGCTGACCTCGAATTTGCTATTCTCCTTCCTCAGCCTCCCAATTGGCTGGAATTATAGGCATGCACCACTGTTCATGGTTTATATTTTGCTTTTTTTTTTTTGGTACTGAGGATTGAACTCAGGGGTGCTTTACTGCAGAACTACATCCCCAACCTTTTTCATTTTCTTTTCTCTTTTTTTAAATATTTTAAATTTTTTATTTTATTTAGTTTTAGTTGGACACAATACCTTTATTTTATGTGGTGCTGAGGATCCAACCCAGGGCCTCGCACGTGCTAGGTGAGTGCTTTACCGCTGAGCCACAACCCCAGCCCTCCTTTTCATTTTCTATTCTGAGACAGGGTCTCACTAAGTTGCCCAACATGGCCTTGAATTGTGATCCTCTGGCTCTGCCTTCCAGGAAGCTGGGATTACAGGCGAGGGCTATGGTGCCCAGCCGTTCTTGAGTTTTGTATTGTGGGATATTAACAACTTCTGCCAATATATAGGCAACAGAAAGGGGAAAAAACTGTCTCCCCACATGATTTGATGTGGAGAAACCTTGCTTAATGTTGCTGTCATGGGAAGACTACGTAATTGGAAGTCATACAGACCCTGGGTTCAAATCCTGGCTCTGCCACTCCCACTGGAACAAACCCAAGCGCCCTGCTTGGCCTGTGTGCATCATGCATGAGCCCTCTGAGGCCAGAAGGGGGCGCTTTCTCCCATGTCTGGGAAAAAACTCAAAGGTGGTCTCTCCCAGCCTCCCAGGCTAGGTGTGTGCTTCTCCTGTTGACCTGCTCTTCCCGGAGCTGGGTTCTCTCCAGACTTCAGATTTCAGCCCAGACAATTCCTCCTCTGGGAAACCACACTGCTCCCCACTTGCTAGTTATGTAACATCTCTATACTTAACATCTCTGTGCCTTAGTTTTTTTCATCTGTAAATTGAGGTTAATAGCACTACCCGCTGGCATTATGGTGAAGAATAGATGAAATAGTCAGGCAAACAATCCCTACCAACAGTAAGCACTCAACACATTTTGTTATTAAGTGTTGATTACTTACTGATGTTATGAACACAGGTTTACTATTCTATGACTTCTCTGCCCAGGTGAGGGGGGTGCCCCACTCTCTGTTCCCATAGCCCTGGTTCCTGTAACGCCAAACTGTGATTTCCCCCCCCCCCTTTTTTTCTTTTTTTGCAGTACAGGGGATTGAACCCAGGGCCTCCTGCACGCTAGGCAAGCGCTCCACCACTGAGCCCCTTCCACAGATGAAGCTTTCACGAAAGCCCGGGGCACAGAGATGCGATACCCTCAGTGCACCAGCCCATGCCGAGGCTCAGCCTTTGAAGTCCTGCTGCCCTAGTTTACAGAATAAAAAGGGCACCTGGGTGAGGAGAGCAGCTGTTCTTCTCCCCAGTGACCTGGAATAGAACGAGACAGAGCCCTCGGCCGAGGTGCCAAGAGCTGGGCTTCCAGGTGAGCTGCCACCTTCCTGGGCGTCCTGCAGCCTCCCCTTGTGTTTCTGGGGTGCATGCAGGATTCCTCATTCCTCACCCCTCATTCTTCCACTGCCCCCTAGAGGGCATTTTTCTCTAGCACCAAAGATGCCAGTCAAGTTCCCCCAGGACCCATACAGTTAGATAACACCCCCTTCTCTCCTGGGTTCAGTCCCGTTCTGGTTTAGATACAAGGTGTCCCCTGAAGGCTCGGGTTAGACAGTGCAAGAAAGTGCAGAGGTGAAGTACCTGAGCTGTGAGAGCCCTAACCCAATCAGTGTTTGAATCCACTTGAATGGATTAACTGGCTGGCAACTGTAGGCAGGTAGGGTGTGGCTGGAGGAGGTGGTGCCCTGGGGACCTGCTTTTGTCCCTGGTGAGTGAGAGCTGCTCGCTGTCCTGTCCTGAGCTGCTGTCCTCCACCACACCTTCCACCATGACGTCTGCCTCACCTGGGGCCAGAGCCATAGAGTTGGTCCTCTACGGACGGAGACCTCGGGAACCATGAGCGCCAAATAGACTTCTCCTCCTCTAAAGTCGCTCTGTCAGGCCTTTTGGTCCCAGTGGCCAGAGAGCTGACTGGAACATCTGGGGTTGTGGCTCGGGGTAGAGGCCCCGGCACCGCAGGACAACACCGAGGATGATTCCAGAGAGGGTGCCGTTCCAGGGAGCTGGGATTGAGGGACAGGAGGGAACACTATTGACAAGAGGCCAGGAAAGAGTGGTCCGGGGCGGTGACATGTGAGCCGTGACACAATGACCTGCAGACACCAGCCACGGACACCAGTGGAGAAGAGCACTTGGGACAGAGGGGACACACTCCGTGTGGCAGGAGCGCAGCCCATCAAGGAGCAGCCGCCTGGTCCCCTGCTGCTTCTGCGCGTGCGCTTCTCTGGACCCTCAGAGAGGCTCCTTCGGCATCTGCAGCCTCCCGGGAGCTGGGTCTGAAGGCCAAGGCCACAGCTCTCCTGGCCTGGGGCCCTCTCTAGAGGCCCGTGGCTGGGCCGGATGTGAGTTCCTGGTTCCTGTCTGGCAGGGGGTGAGCCCAGTCCTCCCAGCCTCCTCTCCCAGGGCTCCACTCTGGCCCCAAATCTCCATGGCAACCCTCGACACAATCCCGTCCCACAGGAGATGGGTCTAGAAGGGGGAGCCCAGCGTCCACAGTGCAGAGGCCACAGTCACTGGTGGACGTGCCTCCCTGTCCTTGTGTCCTGCCAGCTGCCCCACTAGTGGGCCAGGCCCGTCCCCGTGGCCCCAAGGATCTTCAGGTCGCCAGCTGCTGGGCGCACCATTGCTGGATGGCCACCTGTGGGCTGCTCCTGCCCCGGAGGCTGCTCCTGCTGGGGATGGCCGCCCTGGCTGCGTCCGCTCCGGAGACAGGTGAGTGTGGGCCCAGCCAGGGCACCCAGGAGGCTCAGCCCCGTCACTCTGGAGACTGTGTCCCCCCAGTCCACACTCAGCTCGAGGGCCTGGGCCCCCTTGAGTGGAAGGGGCTGGGAAGCCCTGTGCCCGGTCTTGCTTGGTATCCCCACGTCCACCCCAAACCCTTCCAGAGGCCAGAGCTCCAAGTCACCCAGAAGCAGGGGCCTGGGGGCAGGCAGGACAATTGCTTGAAATGCAAACTATGGTGGCTTGGGAATCAGGTGTCCGTGCACCCTGCCTGTGACACATCCCTGCCCCTCCTCATCTTTCAACCCTCCAGGTCTTGGGTCCTGCAGCAAAGGGCTGGGTAGGCCTGGTGGTGAGGCAAGGCCTGGGGTGAGCCGGGCCCTGGTTCCTACCCAGACCTAAAAAGGACAAGACAGGACAAGCGTCAGGGACCACCACTGTGCCTACACGACGAGGTCACCCACACCAGGCCCTCTGCCTGGCACAGGGAGTGGCCCAATCGACTCACTCTTTCCTTTTTCTTCCTCCTTTTTTTCTTTTCCCTTCCTGATACTAGAGAAGGACCAGGGCCTCGCCCAGCTAGTTCCCCTGAGCTCTGCCGGCCCGACCTTTACAAGGTCATTCTACTTTTATTTATATAAAAATTTATTTCTGGGGACTGGACCCAGGGGTGCTCTACCAGTGAGCTACATCCCCAGCCCTTTTTTGTTTTTTATCTTGAGACAGGGTCTCACTGAGTTACCCGGTTGACCTGGCACCTGTGTCCCCTGCCTCAGCCTCCCAAGTCGCTGGGTTCACAGGCTTGTCCGCCACCCCAGCTCCAATTTCCTCACGTTTTAAATTTGATTTTACTTATTTATATGCAGTGCTGAGAATCCAACTCAGTGCCTCCCCCACGCTAGGCAAGAGCCCTAGCACTGAGCACGACCCCGTCCAATTTCTTCCCTTTCTGAACTCCCTCCTTCCAAGGCAGGCTCTGACAACAGCAGGTCTACACAGACACACCCTGAGCCAGGCAAAGACCTTCTCCATGAAGCCCAACATCCTGGCTGGTCCTGGAGCACCCACTGCAGCTCCCGCCTTGCCGGGGCGACCCACCTCCTCTTCCATCCCTGCGCTTAGAAAAATCATCATAGTGTGGACACTTACACATTTTCTCATCTAATCCTCACAATTAGAGGGGGACGTTTTGGTCTGTAAGTAACATACTAGATGCAGCTTAAACGTAAAGACACTGTTTCCCTTGCGAAAGGCTGAAGCTAGACGCAGAGGCACACACCTGCCTATAATCTTGGTAATGGGGGGGGGGGCTCAGGCAGGAAGATCAAAAGTTCAAGACCAACCTCAGCCACTTAGTGAAACCCTGCTCAACACAAAACATAAAAAAGACTGGGGCTGTAACTTGGTGGTAAAGCAAGGCTGGGTTCAATCCCCAGTATTGGAAAAAAAAAAATGGCTGTAGGTGATTCCAGAGCTAAGTCAGCAGCTCAACTGTGTGAGCATTTCCCTGTGAGTCTCACCACCTCACCTTGTAAGATGACTGCTGCAGCTCCAGACATCACACCCTCAATCAACTGTTTCAGAAGCCTGAAGAAAAAGGGACTCCTCACCACACAACACTCCCTCTTTTTTATGGGGAGGAAAACCTAGGAAACTTAGGGTCTCCCAGCAGATTTTCCTTCAGTCTCATTGTTCAGAACCAGGTTACGAGCCCATTCCCAAGCCTGGCAAAGAAGATTAGGAGCATAAAACTTAGTCCCTTTAGCACCCAAATGTGTCCACTCCATCCTTGAATAAGGTAATAGTAGTAGCTGACACTTAAGTATCTCTTGTTAACTGCCAGGTGCTGTCCAGTGCCCTGACCAGTCGGAGTCCACAATCCTTTGGTTGCGATTCCAACATTCACAGGGCAGCACTAGGCCGGGACTGGCCGGCGTCTGTGGACCGCCCCTGGCTGCCCCACTTGGGGTGACTGTCCGTGGGGGGCGCTGGAGATGGTATTTGTTCTCGGAGAGCTGCTGCGGATGTCATTTGACTGCAGCTTAATAGAACATACATACATCGCGTTAATTTCATTTTTTCTGTGCTGTGGACAGTTCTGAAACACACCCAGGGCTGTGGGCTGTGGGATAAGGGGTTGTGGAGTTGAATTAAATTAAATCGCTCAGTCCTCAACAAAATTCTGGGATTGCTTAATCATCCTCATTTTCCCTGATGAAACTGAGGCTCGGAGAGGGTGGGACACTTGCTTGGGGTCACAGAGGGCTCAGGTTTGGAATTGACCCGGGGTTTGCCTTTCCCCGCAGCCGACCTGGTGGACCTGTGCGGGCAGGCTTGGCGCGGGGACGCGCTGCTGCTGCGCTCGCACTCCGCGTCGCGCAAGTTCTACTTCGTGGCTCCGCACACGGACTGCGGGCTTTGGATGCACGCAGCAGCCGCAGGCGACAGGATCCGCTTCCAATTCCACTTCTTCCTGGTCTACAGCCTGACCTCGGGGGCCCGGGAGCCCAACGTCTCCTCCCTGGCGCCCGCAGACCCGTGCGCCCCAGGCTCCTACCTGCAGTTCTACGAGGGGCCGCCGGGGGCGCCCCGGCCCCTGGGGCCTCCCCTCTGCGGCCTGACCATCCCGGCCGCGGTGGCATCCTCGGGAAGCTCCCTAGGGCTGCGCCTGGTCACTAGAGGCCGCCAGCCCCGCGTGGACTTTGTGGGTGAAGTCACCTCTTTCCGGCTGGGTGAGTTGAGGCTGAAGGGCAGGAGAGGGCCCAGCACACGGGCTGCAGAGAGCAGGGCAAGGTGGGGGCACAGAAGGTGGAGGGCCGTGGGTCCTGACAGAGGGTAGGAGGTGGTGACCAGGGGGCAGGGTGGGGTGTCCCAGTGAGGGACATTCCAGACCCAAAGAACCCCATGAATCTGGCTTCCACCAGATGGCCGCCCTACAGCTGCGGGCACAGCCGTGCACACTCACACTGCTCACCAAGTGCACACCCTACCCTCCACCATGCAACACACCACTCACGTCCTACACACCTATGCACAGGTAGTGCCACCTTACACACTTAAACGAGTCACACACTGGTCCTCTCTCCTGCTCAGCCCTTCAGAGGTTTGCAGAGGGCATGGTCAGGCCTCTGGTGATTGCAAGTAATGGACACACACTCGAGCAACAGGGGCCTCTGGGAGGGGAAGTTAATGGTCCTGGTTCATTAAGCACTGCGTGGTCGGCTGGGCTCCGGCAGGCCTCACAGCAACTCTGCTGGCCAGTGTTATTATTTTTTTTAATTTTTGAGATGTTCTCACTACCTTGTGGAGGTTAGCCTCAAACTTGAGATCCTCCTGCCACAGCCTCCCCAGGCCCAGGGATTATAGGCACGTGCCACTGCACCTGGCTTCTGGCCAGAACTGTTACCCTCACATCATAGGTGGGAATTGGCCCAGAAGGTTGGGTGCCCGAGACCTCCCCACCCACAAGTCAAGCTGCTGACCTTTCATGCTAGAAGATGTTCTTCAGTTTAAACTGAGTCTGAGGTTTTAGCCCTGGCGGGTTCTCCTAGGACTGCAGCCACCTGCTGATTCCCATCATCTGCAGTGATGGTGAGCCTGGAAGCTTTAGGGCCATTCCCAGGAAATCCCCAGTGAGAGGACTAACAGGACGGTGAGCACTTTCGCGCCAGCACAGGGTCAGGAAGCACCAGGCCTTGACAGTGGGCCCTGGGCAGCCCTGTCACAGCGAGCTGGTGGGAACACGCCCACCCACGCTGTCTCATTTGTCCCCTTAGTCAAATGTCTCCTTTCTTCCTCCCTGGAATTGCGCATGCTCTGAATTTCGGATTTTAGACCCCCTTTGCTACCACAGTTGCTGGCTCTGGGATAAACTATACATGAAACATATATTTGTACCAGGGATTGAACCCAGGGGCGCTCAACCAATGAGCCACATCCTCAGCCCTTTATATTTTTTATTTAGAGGCAGGTTCTCACTGAGTTGCTGAGGGCCTTGTTAAGTTGCTGAGGCTGTCCCTAAACTTGTGATCCTTCTGTCTCAGCTTCCAGAGCTGCTGGAACTACAGGCATGTGCCACCTTGCCCAGCAACTTCATGAAGTACCCTAGATCCCTGGGGCCATGACTAATAGTGTCTAGAGGGCCCCTCTCTGGGTCCTGTCGGCTCTAGATGCCAAAGCTCCTGTCCTGTTACAACTCTCCTGCGCTGGGGAGGACATCGGCTGCCCCCTCCTCTCTCACTTCTGTGGCCTCGCGCCAAGAAAGTCACAGCTCTTCAGCGTTTTGGAGGGGCTCCAAACACCAGGATATTAAGGAATTGGCTCAGGTCTAGCTGGATCCAGGAGTTCAAGCGCTGTCTCTGCATTCCCTTTCTCCGTCCGTGGGTGCACGGTGTGAGTCTGTGTGGTTTCCATCTCAGGCAGCTCCTCTTTGACTTGGCAACAAAGTGATCCTGTAGCTTCAAGTCCACAGTCACCCTTACAGCTCCACCCTCGGGAAATAGAGAGAGAGTGAGTTTTCTTACAGTTCTAGCAAAAGTCCTGAGGCCAAATCTGATCATGGGGCATGTGTCCGTTGATGCAGCCAGAAAATGGAATGCTCTGATTGGCCAGGCCCAGGTCCCATGTGCACAGCTGAGTGTGGTGATGGTCAGTCCCAGGTGAGCTAGCTTCGTCCAGTGCACGGGATGCCAGGAGTGCCAGCCTGGCTGCCTGACCCTGCGCAGGGAGTCACACCGTCCTCTCCCGTGTGCACGTTTGTTCATTGAGTATTAGCTGAGCACCTGCTATGTGCTGTGGGCTGCCCTCGGCTTTAGGGATAGAGCAGTGAACAAAAAAGTAGCTCCCTGCCCCAGCAACTGACCTGGGTGGGGAGAGACCATAAGCAAATCAGCCAGTGAATCTGCTCTGCAGATGCAGCGAGTGCTGCAGAGGACCCCAAATCAGGAGGGAGAGAGGAGTATGGGTGAGGGGGGTGGGCTTCCTCAGGATGGGGAAGGCTGACAGGTAAGGTCACACTTGAGTGATGGGAGGAGCATGAGTCAGGGGCTGCCAGGAGAGAGAATTCCAGGAGGAGCTGAGGGCAAGTGCAAGGCAAGTGTAAAACCCAAGGGTTTGCTGGGGGTGTGAGGCTCACTGAGAAACTCAACAGTGTGTGCACACGTGTGCAGACCCACCCGCACCACCATGTGCCGGTGTTAATTTATTAGCACAGGATTTAGAACCAGCTTGCCTCAGATTTACATACAAGCTGTGTGACCTTGGTCAGGGGACTTAACCTCTCTGTGCTTCAGTCTTCTTATCTTAAATGGGGTCAACAGCAGTATGTACTCCATGGGTTTGCTGGGAGGACTAAGTAAGCTGGGGTGAGACGCTTAGAGCCCTGCCTGGCACAGAACAGAAACTCAGTGTTAGCTGCCACCACCAGGGGCTCATCCTCATCCATCTGACCCCTCCTGCCCTTGTCATGCTCCTGTCTGGGATCTCCTGACAGCCCTCTACTCTCACCCCCATCTCCCTACAGGGCCACACCCCTGTGGACCCAGGATCCTCATCCAGCCGTCCCCTCTCTCCCCAGGACCCTGTGGAGCCTATTTCGGCTGTCAGAATGGCAGGTGCATCCCACCGAGCCTGGTGTGTGACCCCTGGGGCATGGACAACTGTGGTGACAGCAGTGACCAGGGCTCCTGGCCACCAGCCAGCTGTAGAGGTCAGTGACGGGTGTCAGGGAGGCTCTGGGGCAGAAGGTGGGGAGGCAGGAGGCAGGGAGCCCCAGGAAGGGCTGAGGAGGTCGGGCCACAGGCGGAGTGGGAGCAGCACGGAGAGGAGCCAGTTCAGCGCTTGTGCGTGATGACTAGTGGCAGCCATCTCGGATGGGCCCTGGCACCGGGCAACATCGAAAGGAGAGGTGTTCTGTGTAATTGGATCCGGGGCCTCACCCGGCTGCCTGACGTCTGTCCGAGGGTCCTGGGTTCATCACCCTCGAGACACTTTCAAAACCATCCACGTGGAGAAACTGAGGTCTTGGAGAGAGTCCGCGTCTTGCTCAAGGTCACAGAGCCAGAGACAACACTCCAAGGCTCTTCTTCAGAGCTCTCAGGATCACCCCATCCCTGCAGCCAGGTCTCGGCTTAACTCTTCTTCTTTTGGCACCAGGGATGGAACCCGGAGGCTCTTAACCACTCCCCCCACCTTTTTAAATATTTTATTTAGACACGAGGATCTCACTGAGTTGCTTAGGGCCTCGCTAAGTTGCTGAGCTGGCTCTCAACTCCTGATCCTCCTGCCGCAGCCCATGGACTTTCTGTCCGTCTGTCCCTGGAGCAGCTGGGGCTGCCTGGAAACACTGTTGAGATGAGTGGGAGAATGAAACGCTCCACGCCTCGGGGTCCTTCTCTAAGAAACGGGGGATAAGCCCATTCAGTCAGCAGGAGCTGGGGGGAGGCACTGCGGGGACAGGGCGCTGCAGACCGTGGTGCTTAGGGCACAGAAGGTGCTTGGTTCGCCTGTGTGTGCACTGTCCCCTGCTGAGAAGGAGCTCGGCAGCCAGGCTGGGGGCGTCAGGGTCACTGCAGGGGAACTGGGAGGCACGAAATGACCTCACAAGAGACAGAGGTACCTTTTTCTTTGGGTCCTGTGACTGCTCCGCAGAAAGAGAGAGAGACAGAGAGAGAGAGAGAGAGAGAGAGAGAGAGAGAGAGAGAGAGAGAAAACACACACACACACACACACACACACACACACACACACACACACTGACCCCTTTTATTGAGGAGAAACCATTCAAATGAAGCAAGGGGTCGGGTTTGAGGGGGCTGAGTCTAGCAGGTTGACTGACATCTAGGAAGGCCATGCCCAGGGACACAGTAAGAGAAGGGGACACACAAAGGGCGTTTCCATGGAACATTCTATCCCAAACAGGGCAAAGGGGCAGGATTACAAAGGCACAGGTGAGTGTGGCTCAACCCAGGGGTGACCCGCCTGCACCTGAAGACACGCCCTCAACTTCCTGGACCGGGACCACGTCCAGGTCACTGGGAAATGTAGTGACAGAAACGTAGCGACCAGGGCTAGGGCTGTAGCTCAGTGAAGAGCGCTCGCCTGGTATGTGACGGTCAGAGCCTCTCACTTCAGGATGGAAGGAGCGAGTCACTCAGAGTGGCTCCCACATGGGGGCGTCCAAGCCCCCTCCTCCCCTCCCACTGTGTGACCTTGGCAAGAGACCTCAGCTTGGAGGCTCAATGACTTTCAGAGAGGCCAACTCAGAGGCCGCAGGAGGAGGTGCCCAGGAGGGGCGGTCCCTGGTGTGCTAGCGGTCACTGCCCACTGCAGGTCCCTCTGCAGTACCCAGATGGACCAGGAGCACACATGACAACGCCTCTGAGCCCCTGGCTCTCAGCTCTGCAGACCCCCTCCAGATCACGGCCCAGACAAGCCCCCCAGGAAGCGGGGACCCTGCCCAGGAGGACGCAGTTTTGGAAGGTAGACAGACGGACGGCTGTTGGTGACGTGCATTCCTGCTCTTCCCACACTCGTCCCTGTCCAGGTGAGGGGGACGGGACTGTGGGCCCAGGCTGTGGCTAACTGGACTCCCTTTTCCTTGGCAGGCCCTGGGTTACAGGGGATGGCGCTGGCCTCCTCTCTGCTGCTGGCCTCTGCTGGCCTCTTCGTGGGCCTCCTGTGGTGCTGCTGCTCCCTGGGCTGGCTGGCCTGGGAACCTGGGGTCCAAGGCCTCCGCCTCCAACGCAGTGCACCCTGCAACATCTGCCACACGTGTCCTGACCGGGTAGCCCCTGGGGGGCTACGGCAGAGTGGGCTGGCCTTCCAGGATCGGGAGACCGTCCCTAGAGAGGCTGTGGGGGTCTGGGGACGAGAGTGGGCTCTGGGGCCAGACACGCCCTGAGCTCCAAGTCCTGGCTGGCTGGCGGGCCTTGGGCAGGTCACTCGTGCCTCTGAGACTCTGTCTACCCCTCTGGAGAAGAGTGCAAGTCCCGCTGCCCGGGCGTGAGGGTCACAGGAGCTAAAGCACACACATAACTGGTCCCGTGGCGTGGGGAAGGGGGACAGCTGTGCCGTGGCTCCTATGTGTGGGATCACGGAAGGTGCGACTCCATGAGCAGGGCAGGGAGGGGTTTGCTCACCGAGGTCACCCTGCTTCACTCTAGGGTCTCTGTGGCCCAGCTCTGCCCACCCTGGCCCACCCTCAGGTGCAGCCGGGTCAGGACTGGTCAAAGACACAGGAGACCCCTGGCGGGGATAGCACCGTTTATTAAGAAAAATCAAGACAAAGACCACAGCAGGGTCCCTTGTAGGACCCTGAGGCCAGGGGTCCAATGCCACAGTCCAGGGCCCGCTGACCCCGCTGGGTCCTGAGGCTCTCAGGCGGGCAGCGCGGTCACTTCCCCTCCTGTCCCTCCAGTCAGGAGTCTCGCTTCCCCCGCCCAAGGCACTGCTCCTCCTGACCCAAGGCTCCCCCACATCCCCTGGGCCTTCACCTCCAGATGAGTGGGGGGTGTGGCCTGGTGTGGCAGGAGGCCTCTCAGGGTGGCCTCTGCCGTGGCAGCTGCCGGTGAGAGTTGGATGGGGTTTCCCTTGCAGCCCCTGAGGGCAGGGCCCTGGGCTGGGTGTTGGGGTGGGGTGCAGGCCGGAGGGCTTGGGGGGAGGCTGCCGGGGCAGGTGGCCTGCTGTCTAGGAGGAGGCCGGTTCCACAGTGGGCACTGGAGAGCTCTGGGGAGAGGTGGGCACGGCCACTGCGGCGCCTGCTCTTAGGCCCCAGGTGGTGAGCTAAGGTTTGCTCTCTGTGGAAGAAGGGGTGCCCAAGGGCGGCCCAAATGACACCCCAACTCTATGATGGGGAGCCCCCTGTGGGCAGGAGAGCAGGGGCAGTTCCACCCAGCCCCCGTGCCGGCCCCGAGTCCTGGTGGCCTTCGGAGCCAACCTACTCCCCTCCTGCCTGCCCGCCCACCCGCCTGCGGCCTGTCCACGTGTGGGGGGGTGGCGTGCCCACTCCAGTCCAGCCCAGGGCGTAGCAGCAAAGCGTGGCATTGCCTCGGTTTCTTACAAAAAATTCACCATAATAATATTAATAATAATATACTCCATGTGGTTGGCGGGGGCCCTGCCCAGAGTCCGTGTGGGGCAGCAGGTGCCTAGGAGGCGCATGGGCCTGTGTTGGCCCCCGCCTGGGCGCGGTGCTGCAGGTCCAGGGGCTGCGGGGGTGGCGCGCCAGGCCCGGCCGAGTGCAGGACCAGGTTCTTGATACAGCCCGTGATGCCCGAGGAGAACCTGCCCCCGGTCAGCGCGGCCACGTCCGGGGCTCCGCCTGTGGGGAGTATGAGGACCTGTTGGCTGCAGAAGCCCAGGAGCCCAGCAGGCCAGGGGACTCCAGGGCACTCCAGGGGACTCGAGCATTGCAGGGGGCAGCTCCCTTCCCTGCCAGCAGAAGGCCCAGCAGCACGGGACTTACCGACGTAGACGCTGCCTTTGGTGTTGACTGCCACGTTAGGGCCTGGGGACCGCCCGCTGACCAGCTCCTCGCCATCGACCTGGATGGAGCCTCGCCGGCCCTCTCTGCGGTGGAACTGGGTCAGGCCCTCGCCCCGAATTCCCAACCGCAGCAACCCGCCCCCTGGGCAGGCTCCAGACAAGCCCCCGCCTGCTCCCAGCGCCTCCCTCTGGAGAGCAGGCCACGAACCCAGCCCGAGCCTGCTCCAGGGTCTTCCCTCTCGGGGCCTCTGCCTCCAGGGCCTTCCCTGAGCCTGCCAGGAGCTGTCCCCTGCTCCACACTTGGCCTCCCAAGCTCAGCGCTACCTCTCTGGGCATCATGGGCATCCTGTCCCCTTGAAGCACCGTGGGCCCTGATCTCCGGTGCCCACTGGGCACATCCTTACCGCAGTGCTGTCACACGATGCCACTCGCCGTCATTGATGGGGTCCTCAGAGACCAGGCGGGCCTCCCCACTGCCTAGCTGGTAGCTGTGGGGCACAGGCCGTGAAGGCGTGAGCTGGGGCAGGACTGGAGGTGCGGCTGGCAAGGGCGGGCACAGTGTTGGGGGGGCTCTGGGAGTGGCAGCTGCCTGTGGGAGGGGCCAGGACTCACCTGAAGACCAGGTGCCCATTCTGCAGTCCGAGGCTGATGAAGTCCTTGCCGTGGCCGGCCTCTCCCACCTCCTGCCAAAGAAGCACAGGGTCTCTAGGGTCCCCAGCGTAGAAAGCCAAGGTCCTCTATGGCGGTAGCCTTCACCTTCCTCTCTCCCCTCTGCCCCAGCCTCCAGGAGGCCAGCCTCTGCCCAGGAGTCCCGAGACTCAGGGCCAGTGCCCACTCACCACGCCCTGCCAGAGCAGGAGGCCGCTGGCCGTGCTGGTCCGAACCTCCAGCTCCACAGTCTCGGGTGCTTCAGGCAGGCTGTGGTGGAGGAGGGGGGAGAGGACAGAAACCTGAGATTCCTGTCCTCCCCCTGGGTCGGCAGGCTGCTACAACCAACACCTTCTTACCTCCTGGAGAAGACGCGGCTGGGCAGGGAGAGGAAGCCGTTGTCATGGAAGTAGGCTCCATACTGCCCGGGGGCATCTGCGGGGTGGGGTGGGAGTGGGGAGACATCTGCTGCCATCAGGTCCCTGGGGTTCCCTGACCCCCTCTCCACCCCACTGCCGGGGGGCTCGGACCCTGCAGTCCCTGATACCCAGACACCTGGGCAGGCAGAGGGGCCATCAACACGGTTGGGGTCTGTGAACTCGGAGGGGAAACTCTGACTCCCTGTGCTTCTTCCAGACACTTCTTCAGCCAGGGATGGAGGTGACCAACCAGAGCAGTAGTAGCGGGGCCTGTGACTGTCACTAATATTTGCTTATCACCTTAGAGTAGCCATTTTATTTGGCTACAAATGTTTTAAAATATTGTTTCTGTTCCTGCTGTTTTGAAAACAGCGGTAGCTCTTCAGACCACCACAAGACCCTGCTGTTGAATGTGCTAATAAAGAAGCACGTGGTTGCAAATCTAAAAAGTGGTTTGATAACTTCATTTCGGTCTGGCCAGTTTCCTTTGAAATTTCTTATGTCCTGCAGCTGACAGGGTCCATGGCGGGTGGGCCCGATCCCTGTTGACCAGGGTCTGTCTGACTTGAGCCCCACAGCTTCGGAAACCCTTAGTCCTCAGCAAACAGGGACAGCTGGCTGCCCCAGACCCTGGCCCGGGCTGTTCCAAGCCCAGGTGATCCTTGGCTTACAGGTGGGAAGCCTGCAACCTGGGCCCACTGGCTCCAGGGCCACACCACCCCAACACCACCCACTCAGACCCACTGGCAAGCCAGCGGGCAGCACAGGCCTGGCAGGTGCAAGGGCAGGACACTCTGCTACTCTCCATCAAGCACCCAGGATAACTGCTCAACTTGTGATCCTCCCGCCTCAGCCTCCAGAGCTACTGGGATTACAGGTGCACAGCACTGCGCCTGGCAAGTCCCTCCAAGGCCTGTTTTGTTTAGAGGTGGAATTGAGGGTGTGGGTAACTGGAAGACCGAGGCTGAAGGGACAATGGCTGCTCTGGCTGGCCACAGCAAGTACATACCGTTACCCCCACTGCCTTCAAGATGCCACTCGGACTCTGCCACGTCATGACCAGAGCCTGTGGGGAAGGGGAGGTTCTAACTGGTGGGTACAGACACCTGGGGTGTCCAGCCCCTGGGCCCCAGAGGGAGGTGGACAGAAGCCAGGCCTGGTACCTTGTTGGCAGCGTGGGCCAGAGAAGCCAGGGAGACAGAGGCAGCGGGTGCCCTGGCAGGTGCCCCCATGCAGACAGGGCTCCCGGAGCTGGCAGGGGTTCTCCTCGTGCTCACAGAGGTCTCCTGCAGGCCAGGGCAGAGGTGGGTAGGTGGGCAGGAGCTAGAGGTGCCGCTGACCACCTGTGTCCCCAACGCCCCGGGGAGGTCTTGCACCTTTGAAGCCGTCTTGACACAGGCACTGGAACTCGTACTCGCCAGCGGGCATGCACGTGGCGCCATGCTGGCAGGGCTGGCGCTCACAGGGGGAGCTGTCGTAGCACTGCCCGATGCCCTGGCTGCCCAGGAAGCTGTAGGTGAGGTCCAGCCGCTTGCCATTCACAGACACCTGCAGGCACAGGGACATGGAGGGACTAAAGGGATGCAGATGGACGAGGCAGCAGAGAGAAGGGCACAGCGGAGGGCAGCTGGGAACCAGGCGCCAAGAACACCCGTCCACCCTGCCGATGCCCAGCATGGTCCTTCCAAGTGGGGACTAGCATTCCTATATATACCATCTTTTGGGGGGTACCAGGGATTAACTCAGGGGCACTCGACCACTGAGCCCCACCCCAGCCCTGTGTTGTGTTTTATTTAGAGACAGGGTCTCACTGAGTTGCTTAGCGCCTCCTCATTGATGAGGCTGGCTTTGAACCCACGATCCTCCTGCCTCAGCCTCCAGAGCCGCTGGGGTCACAGGCTGTGCCACCGTGCTATTATCCCCCTTTTATGGAGGGGAAAACCAAAGTGCAGGGGGAGCGGGGGGAGGGTGGCCCCAGGACCAGGGCTAGCTGCAGGTTGGCCCAGTCTGTCCCCTCCCCTCCTGCTCGTCCTCACAGGCGGTTCCTCACCTCGCCCACGCAGCCGCGGAAATGGGCGCTCACGTTGGCAGCGGGGGAGAGCGGCACTGAGGGCTCCACGCCACCCAGGTAGAGGAGGGTGTGCAGGTTGAGGCCCTGGCTCTTGCCGGGGGAGGAGCGCAGCACGGGGCGCCCGCCGTCCACCCGCAGGCTGCCGTCCTTGTTGAGACGCTCTGCGGACGCGCGGTGCCAGCGGCCCAGGGCCAGCGGCTCCATGCTTCGCAGGACAGCCAGGCCTGGGGAGAGCGCCAGGTGGAGCTGGGCACCAGGGTTCTGGTCCCCCCACATACAGGGGAGCTTCTGGCCTCCTCAGGGGCTGCCCATGGAGGAACCCGGGGCTGCTGAAGGCCACCCACGGGAAACGTGCAGGGATAGGGGCAGCGGGTGCGTAGGTTCCTGAATTTGCTCCTTAGCGCCTCCTTGGGGCACAAGAGCCAAAGAGGGCACAGGGTTTG